ATTTTATACTTACAGTCCCTGGCCATATTATTAGAAGCCTTATAAGATTCTATGTAAATTTATAATTATCAGATGACACTGTACAGCTGTATTGTTTTGATTCGGATGAAACCGGTTTGCATTTGTTTAAGCTCCTCTATCAATGGGTTAACATTGTAATGCAATAAGTTACAAATAAATACAATATGGGAAGTATACAAAATTTCTCCTGAATAAAAACCCATTGCATGTATGTTTAAAGATAAAAGTATTGCCTATAAACTCATGGAAATCATGTCATTATTAAAAAACACTACAGTGCGTCTCATAATTTGATCTAATTATTATAATATACGAATATAATACCTGATGTAATAAATATTCTATATTTATACAATATATCGTCTAATTTATCCTATCATCGAATTTATATTATATATCGTCTTATTTTATATCGTCTTATTACCGGTTTCAGTCACATAAAAGCAATAAAGCTGTAGAGTATCATCTGCTAATTTAGATTTTGCATAGTGCGTCTTATAATTTGGCAAGGGACTGTATTGAATGACTTATTAAAATTTAAATTGAAAAAGTGAATTTTTAGAATTCGGTATGAGGAAGTTTTTACGCAATATTAAATCACTTCTTTCGATGCGAATCAGAATAAATAATTAAAAAATTTGTTCAAAATTTGGCGTTTGATTTAACATTCGTTTCTAACTTCAAAATGTTAAAACAATTTGAGGCATTTTAACAATATAAAAGCTGAAAAGAATGTTGATTGCTGGAAGGTTAATGAAACATTCATTTATTTTGCTGCTTTCCTCATAATTGTATTTTGTTAATTTGTTTCCCATTTGAACATAAAACGTTTTTGTTGCTTTGTTTAAGTAAGAACTAGAATCATTGCCCTCAGAATCCAACTTTTTTCCACTTCCAAAATTTCTAAAAATTAATCTTATTAAAAGTCATTAATATCAATTAATTGGGCGATAATATTCTCTAATGCAACTAGTCAAATTATAAATTAATTTTTCAGGATGCTGTCTGAAAATCTAATCAAATCATTAATTAAGATTTCATTAAGAGTGTATTCATGCACGACTTTATCATTATGAAAGCAGTAATTCAAATTTTAGTAAGAAGGATTTCCTTAAGTAGGCATTAATTATAATTACTTTGGCATTATTTTAAATCTAATAAGTGATTTCAAAGCATTCCGTGGATAAGATACATAAATGATTTCAGCGTCAAAAATTTACTAAACGCTAGAAAAACATTTATTTAGAATAAACCTCATAGAATGACTAAGTGTCCAATTATTATTCGGAAAAAGTTATATTGAAATATTTATGAAATCAGGAAAGACGGAAAATGATAAACTTTCTTTAATTCGAAACTTATTCCTTTTCCGCAAAATGAAAGAATTATAGAAAACTATATAATCATTTTGAAACTCCATATGCCTAACTATTGAGTTAATATAAAATCTCCAAAGTCAGTACTTAAACCTTTCATAAAAATACCGTACTATATCAAACTTTGATTTTTCACACATTTGTGGAATATTTTATTTTATTTACAGAAGAAGAAAACGAATTCCTTTTTAATTAATCTTCGAAATTATTTGAATTTCGTTGCATATAGTAAGCGTCAACATTAACTTACAATAAGCATATTAATTAGTTTAAATAATTATAATAAATAAAAGTAAGTGAGATTTCGCACTCTCGCGCTGCAATCCGTACTTTCGTGCACGTACACTGTTAGAAATTTCTCGGAAAAAAGGGTTGAATAACAATTTATTGAATGGTTATTTTACCATATTTAATCAACGCAGTCAAATAACCATAAGTAAAATGGTAATCAAACTGTTAAGATTGATAAAAACTGTTTATTAACTGCTTTCACCTGATACTGTTAAACAACCAGAATTTTTATCACATCCACTAAAACCACCTAATGAAGCTACTTCGTTTTTTGCAACTGAGTACATAGCCGAGCTGGCTTATCTGTGAATCTCATGCCTGGCAGTACTGGAGTTCGAGTCCTAGTGTTGACATCACACTATTTCCAGCCATTCCCTTCAACACATGAAGAATTTCCAGTGTCCGGCACTCTCCAATGTCCATTACCTTACGAAAAGTCGAGCTCCTATGACCAGTTAAATATTTTTACATTTTTGAAAATGCTACTTGTAAATTGTTAAAAAACCTGTAGTTTTGTATTGATGGTTTCATAACCATACTTTTTGTAAATGGTTTCAAAACCATAAAAGAACAAAATGTTCTTTACCGTAAACTTTACGGTTAATCGGATGGACAGACGGCTGCCAGTTATTTTACCACAATTTTAAAATGAAAATTTTAACAGTGTAGGTGCGCAAGTTCTGTATGTTGCTTTGTAGTCATTGCGTTGTGTAGAACTTACGTACATGCTGGATGTCACGTGAGCGTACGTTAAGTCCTTTGAAGGAATTTTTCGCAACAAAGAGAGTTTTAAAGAATTACACGCACCCTTAAAATGCTCAAAAAATAATTTTTCAGAACAAAAGTAATTTTAGTCAGCCACTGAAACGGTCTAATGGAAGCGCTGTTAATGGCGATTAACCCATAGCATTAAATGGAGTGATTAACCCATTGTACTGGGTGGCGCGTCTTGGAAGATTACTATATTCAAAGCTAGGCAGCCTATTCGAGATCAGGAGTCGTGGATAATAATAAGAATAGTAATAATATACAATGAAATATGAAGTCCTAAGTTTCACTTAAATTCGATTAATATTAACGGCATTGAGCTCGATAGTGGTTAAAGTATAGCATGCGATGATTCTGGTAGTTCCCGGTGGCAATTTGTCTGGGTAGTAACTGGAGTACCGGAGACAATGCTGGCAACATTACCAGCATAATTGCATTGCTCTCGAAACCGTTTAGTCCACGGCACTCTACACTCTCTGGCCAAATTATTAGGCGCACTATAAGATTCTATGTTATATCTTAATTATCAGGTGATACTCTATACAGCTTTATTGCTTTTACACGACTGTTTGCACTTGTTTACATTCGTGTATCAATGGGTTAACATTGTAATGCAATACGTTAAAAATGAATACAAATAGATCAAAAATCTCCTGTTTAAAAACCCATTACATGTGTGTTTAAATATAAAAGTATTGTCTATAAACTCGTGCAAAACATGTCATTATTGAAGAACTACAGTGCGACTAATAATTTGTTTAATAATTATAATATACTAATATAATGCTTGATATAATAAATATTATACATTTGTATAATATATCGTCTAATGTATCCAATCGTCGAATTTATATTAGATATCGTCTCATTTAACCCATTGATACACTACCGTAAACAAGTGCAAACAGTCGCATAAAAACAATAAAGCTGTATAGTGTATCACCTGGTAGTTAAGATTTTAGATAGTATCTTATAGTGCCTCTAATAATTTGAACAGGAACTGCGTAGCAAAAATAGGTAAAAATGAAATTTTTTTTCCTTCGTTTTATTTGAAGAAGATTTCACTTTATTCTCCATTCAGTAGATCCCGGTTAAGCAGTTCAAAAGACAGTTTCGTAACATTTATCATTTTGATACCCTAAATATTAACATATAAATTGTTTTAAAGTAAAAAAAAGATTTATATGAAATTTAAAAAAAGTTAAAAGCTTGGAAAAAAATATAACAGAAATTTTTTTTTTTGCTTTGGACATTAAAAACGGGGTATGTTTTATTAGGAGTTATTAGCAAAAGTCCCTAAATAATACAGTAAGGAAATAGCTTCAAACTGTTTCCGTTAGGTCTTCTATTTCAAAACTAAAAGCCTTAAGAATTTTATTATTTTTTGAGCTTTAAGGGTGCGTATAAATAATTAACATTCTAATAACGAATTTTGTTGTCATAAAAGCCTATACTCAACAATCATATACACAAACATCAACGACAAAGTCTTAGGATTATTTCATGCAACCTTGTGTTAGCAAACAACATTTGACCAAAGTTTTAAAATAGTGTCTCTTCATTTTCTCACTCTGTAATGCACACATTAATAAATGTAGCAAAAGTATGAGTTACTCTTCCTATAGATGGTTGACCGTGTGTCGTTAGGCACAGATGTCGGTGGGGGGTTAAAATTCGTCGTAAGACGTCCGGGTTACTACTTCCGATTGATTTTTACGTCTACAGTCCCTGGTCAAATTATTAGACGCACTCTATGATTCTATGTGAAATCTTAATTATCAGGTGATACTCTATACAGCTTTATTGTTTTTACACAGACTGTTTGCACTTGTTTACGTTCGTGTATCAATGGGTTAAATGAAACGATATATAATATAAATTTGACAATAGGATAAATCAAACTATATATTATATAAATATGGACCATTTATTGACTGCCGGTGGCTGAGCGGTAGCGCTTCGCGCTGTCGTGCCACAGGTCCCTGGTTCGGTTAGTCCCAAGGTTGAAGGTTAGAGCCTTTCATCCCCTCAGTGGGTCGATAAATGAGTACCAAGCATGCGTGGGAACTAAACACTGGGGGTTCCACGTTCGGCTGACCACCTGACCGGAACATCTGCTCCTGCACCCCAGAGCCCAAGGTCAAGAAAACTGAGATGGCCATAGTAGGCCTTGGCCCTCTATGGGCTGTCGCGCCGCTGAGTTTAGTTCTAGGACTATTTATTATATCAAGCATTACATTAGTATATCACAATAATTAGATCAAATAATTAGACGCATTGCAATTTTTTAATAATGACATGATTTGCGCGAGTTTATAATCAACACTTTTATATTTAAACATACATGTAATGGGAAATTCAGGAGATTTTTCATATACTTCCTATTTGTATTTATTTTGAACCTATTGCATTACAATGTTAACCCATTGATAGAGGAGCGTAACCAAATGCAAACCGGTTTCATCCAAGTAAAAACAATACAGCTGTATAGAGTATCACCTGAGAATTATAATTCTACATAGAATCTTACAGTGTGTCTAATAATATTGAAAAGAACTGTTAAGTTTTTGTGAGAGTTTTCTACGTTTTGAAGGAAAAACTGCAAATGAAGGAAGTGTGCAATTCTGCATACTTTTCCATTGTTGCTTTTTGTAGAATTTTGAATTTCTGTAATTGACGTTTTTTTAAAAACTTAAAAGAAAGCAAAATATTTGACAACAGAATTTTACAATTGCTAAGCAATTCTTTTCTGATGATATATATCTCGTATTTCAACAGTATGTAGATGCGTATTCCTCAAACCATGGTTAAAGGTTAATCCTAAGACTTTGTACACACTTAATAGGACTGAAACTTGTTAAAAGAATGAGCTTTCAGAAATGAAATCATCTCTCCTAAGGATCATTGGTGTCGCCCACACTGGTTCAGGGTCACAAAATGGTATCCAACATGAACAAACTTCTCGTCCTTAACTCATCCTGTAGAGAAAGCAAAAACATAGAAATTTATATAAGCTTAAAATCCTGAAGAGTATTTCTGAATTTTTATATTGCAATCACGCGAAAATTGTTTTTTTTTTTTTTTCTAAAGTGGAAGAATTTTGAAACTGAATACGTTCGTCTGTTATCTACCACTTTAAGTTTTTGAAAAGAAACTAGAGAATATTTGCCTGGTGTGCCACAAAGTGGTTCCTTGAAGTACAGATAAAGCACTTTATTTGGTGTTTACACTAGGTTTACAGTCTCATTTGTTCTTCATGAAATGTTTAGCTTAAGCTAAAATACTGATCCTCTGTAAATTTAATTTCATAGTAAAATTCATAGTTTTTGTATCTTTAGGCCTGAAATAAAATGCTTTTCGGGGGAGAGGAGTTATCGGCAATGTCAACCTTCATCTATGAAAAGGTACCCCACCATAGAACATGTCTTATATACTTGTTAACATGTCTTATATACTTGTGAATTGGAATTGTATTGTTGTAGTGGAAGATATAATACAGTACTCCCCCACCAGAATTATAACAGGGACATAATTCGATGAACGGATACCACTAGTTGATTCATTGTTGTTTTGTGAGAAGCCGGGAGAGCTGTATTAAGATCACCGTACTTTTTGAGGGCTGATCGTGAGAGCTGTATTAAGTACACGGACGTGGTCGCTCCTGTGTTGTCATTAGTAGTGGAGTGAATACGTTGTACGTTGGTTGTGATCGAGACTGAGGAGCAACAGTTTGAGGAGGACAATGTCGCAGTCACAAGTAGCAAGGCAACTGATCAATGTGGACCATCCACCGAAGTAGGCGTGTTCAAATCGTGGTGGGTGTTTTTGTCAAAGTAGGCGTGTTTACATCATGTCCGAAGGTCACCCATGTGGGAGAGTCACATCAACCATGTCAACCGCCATCCATGAAAAGGTACCCCACTATAAAATCGAGTTAACATATCTTATATACTATTGAATTGGAATTGTATTTTTGTAGTGGTCGATACACTACACTGTCAATGGCTGGTATACCACTGGGTGGAGAGGGAACTCTATTTGAATTAAATTATAAATAAAAAGTTTTAAAAAAATTATAAATTCTATTACATATTATTATTATATTATGTATAATTGATTACGCATTGCCTTATCCAGTATGGTTAGGTTGATAAGATTAACTAAAAAACTTTTTAGAAAGAGTCACGATAATTGTAATTTTTTAAAAATAATATTCTAAAATTTCAGAAATAATGCCTGTTGAGCGCAAAATAAATAATACTATTTAACGATGCGTCTTAAAACATCAAGATAAGTTTGGTTGAAATGTTTTTCAGAAAGACAGGCGAAATAATATCGAAAATAAAATAAAAATTCTTTACAACTATTTTATAGAAAGTGTATTATTTCGTCATCAACAAGATATTTGTTTTGGTAAAGGTGACAAATTTAGCGTGGGCTGCCAACTACGCAAATGCCGCGTGAGAAAAAAAAATGGTCTGGCAGGTTTTAAAAGTCTTCGCAAGTCAAATTTCCTGTCATTGCTCCCGAGACGAGTGTCTTCCTTTATATATAGACACTGCTTCGATATGAATGGAAGGAATTAAATGTTAGATTTAAATGAAATCGTAAAAATGAGAGAAAAACATTAAATCTTAATATTCTGTTCTTAATGAAATGAATTATTTCCTTTTAAAAAAAAAGGCTTTCGTATGAAATAATAAAAAATGAATACGAAAAAAAAAACGCGTTATTTTAAGTAAAAGTGAAATGAAATGGATCCCAGGAACCAGTTCTTTTTCATATTCGTTTCTGATTTTCTTATTGATTAACTACTTCCTTTACAAATATTTTAGAAAAATGCAAAAAATCAACATTTTTTATTTCACTAATAAATACAAGGAACTAAAACAGAACATAATATACACGTTCGAAGTTGACGTTTTAATTTATTTACGTGTAAAAAATATATAATTCACCGTCAGTTTTACTATCCCAAATGATCTCGGTCAAATGAAAAGAGTTAAATATGAGTCTTTGCATATGTTCACATCTTCAGCATCTGAAAAATCATCTGCATCACTTTCACTTTCACTCGCGAAACCCTTTTTTTTAACTCTTTTTTCAATGTAAAATCATCAACTATCGTTTGTACAATTTTATTTCCTTTTATAACAGTCATTGAACAGCCGACCCAATTTTATGGGTTTACGACTATTAATGTTCAACTCCGTAGTCTTGTCATTTTGAACCCTGTCCAGAAGACAAGGGAACTCCTTAATCGAGTATTATGAGAAATTTTGCCCTCATGGAGGACTTTTTGAGGGCGCTAACCCGCACTTGCGTTACATGGAGAGGAAGACCACGAGAACTTACCAAGGTTAGCCTAACGGCAAGGGGATTCTAACCCATGATCCGTCTACCACTGAGGATATTTCGCGTCAGCACTGTGGTCGTTGCAAGCCGGATGCGGAATTCGTATCGACTGGGATTCGAACCCGGTTCGCCACTTGGAAGGCGAACGCTCTATCCCCTGAGCCATCGTGTACAAAGCACGTCTGCTGTCCCCAAACAAAATATTGGCAAACACAGCAGATTTTTATTATTTTTTGTTTTGCTTTCGGCCGAATAAAAACGTGATAAAAACAAAAGGTATTGACGAGTTTCCTCGGGATAATACATATTAGTTAACTCGGGAAAATCAGGAAAACGGTTAATTTATCTAATATTTTATAGAGGAATTTGTTCAAGTTTCTCTTTTAAACAGATGCATTCGACACAGATAGAAAATATTGAACTAAAATACTCTTAGCATAAAAAGAAGACAAAAATTACTTTCTGGCACCAATCCATGAATTCGTCCAGTGTAATTACTCCATCTTTGTTCAGGTCAATTAACTGTAAGAAAAGAAAAATTCGTTTTTCTTTAGATAGGGGGTGGTGAAATACACTACAATAGATGCAACCACTCACCGTACTCACATTTAAAACGCAACATTAACACCAACACTATATTAAAGTTGGGGCATTGCGTACATTTTGAAAATGTGAAACAAGCCTCTTACTCAAATCTAGCGGGGTTAAAAAGATTGAAACCCTATAACTTTAAAAGGAAGAAAAAAAGACTTTAAAAAAAACATATCACTTTAAGATCTGTGAAAAGAGTAACGGGTAATTATTGTTGAAGTTAGAAAAAAAGTTTATCCGTGCCTCATTTTTATTTCCATCTAGGTTTATCTAATTTAAATTATAAACGTGGTGGTTTTGAGTTTATTTTAATTAAACTGAAGTTTTAGAACAAAAGACTAACAAGGAACGGAATTTAAAATGGAATGGTGGAATGTTTAATAAATGCGTTATTCTATAAAAAAAATAAAAAAAATTAAAAGGAAATTATCAATGCACTTCAATAAGAAATATTCATGAGACTTATTTGTAAGATAAATCGTTACTCATTTCTTTTAAATCCTTTTAAGATTGGAATCAGATTCTAAAAAAAATTAAATAAGTAAAACAAAATAATAATAGTAACAATAATTATAAAATCCAAAATATTTCTGTAACTTTTTTTTTATATTTGTATAAAATTATTGGGAACAAAAAAAAAACCTTTCTGAGTATGAATCCTTAAACAAATTTCTGTGAAAATAATGAATAAAAATAAAGTTTGATTTAATAAAATGAAAAAAAAATACTGAGTTCACTTTTTAGTTTTATCAAGATTTTATTCAGTTAAATAAAATGAAATATTTTTTATTCATTTAGCGTTATGACGATAAGGGATAGATAATTTGTCTTGTCATTTTTTAAAGTATACAGCAGTCATTTATTGCGAACACAAGGCTAACGAAAAATCTTAATATTTCAAAAAATTATTTTCTTAATTATGAAACAATGATGCTATTAATTATGTTTGAAATTGTAAAAAATATAGATTATTTTATATCAATTAAGACGGGAGTAAAGTAGTAGATTATCTGGATTAAAAATAAAGTAATGCTGCAATTTCGAAGGTTTTTTTCCTACTATCCTTCTAACATTTTCGTGATTTTTTTCAACTTTAAGACGATATATCCTAAAAACTAATAAAGAAAATCTAAAAAATTCTGAAAATGCGTTTTGGATATAAGACTTTAATTTTTTTTTCTTCAGTAAATTGAAATAAAACATTCAAGATTTTGATTCATACATTTTTGAAGTAGAATAAACATAAAAAAATATATTTTTTTCTAAGCCCTCTTTCTTGACGAAAAGCATTGAAGTTGTTGGTTCCTCTGCGGTATTGAAAGATTATAAAAAGCTGTGGTGGTCTTATTACGATCACTGGTTCCCCATGGATCAAATGCTTTTTTCTTTCTGGATGGACTCCGTTAAACATTTCAAATCATGGGTTGCAAATCACTGTCTCCATGGATGTTTGTCTTCTTTCATATCCTTGCCTATGTACGTGTTTCACAAAATACTTTTACTTCTTCAGCATTCATATTTATACTGAAATCACCGTCAAGACAGTCATTGTACGTTCATAATAATAAGAATATAAAAATACTTTAAATTATTACTATGCAAATACATTAAAAATGCCTGCTACTGAAAAGTAAAAAAAAAAACAGCAGCGGTCGCTATAGCAACGCATGCAATGACGGCGCATGCGCACTGTTTACTATTACTCCTGAACACAGTTGAAATGTGTGATGACGTCGAAATAAGTTGCGCCGCCATCAAACCCAAAACAAGACCCATTTTGCCAATGGGTAATATGCAGTTTTAGTTACAGAAAACTAATGTCAGAAACAAATTAAACTATATGTATAGATTTAATTAATGCTTATTTCAAAGCATAACATCTTCATTTATAACAACAACAAAAAAAGAATTATCAATGAATTAAAATATTTCTACAATGTCTCATAAATAATATGTGAGAATGTACTCAAAAATATTTAAAAAAAAAACATAATTTGGAATGAAAATGTGATCTTACATGGAATATTTTGTCGACGTGTTCCTTCGCCGAATGTTCCGTGACTGCAGGATCTGTGTAGTGTCCTAGCATATCATAAATGGCACTCACTATGTTCAGCATCTCTTGCTTCGTAATGTATCCGTCTCCGTTGATGTCATACAAGTTGAACACCCACTCAAGTTTTTCAGGTACATTCCCTCTCGAAAGAATCGACAGCATTTTCAAAAATTGCTGCAAAAAATACACTGTAAAAAATTCATGAAAAATTAAGGTAAAAAATCTTTTTTATTTACCTTTAACTTCTTCCCTGATTATCCCGAGTTAATTCGGGTGTGTATATATTGCAAATATTTATTACCCCGAGTATACTCGGCCATAGCAGAATTCGTCAATATGCTTTATTTTATCACGTTTTTAGTTGGCCGGAAGCAAAGCAAGAAATAATAATAATCTGCTGCGACTGGAAGTTTGCCAATTTTTGTCTCGGAGTTTTGCTATGTGTGGTACTACAGACGTGTTTTGTGCAATTGTATATACCAGGGATGGCGAACCAATGGCACGCGTGCCATTTATGGCACTCGACACAATATTTTGGGCACTCCACCGATCACAATTGTTGTTACACTGTGAAGCACATGTAATAATTAAATTAAAATTCACAAAAAATAAACAGAATAATAAACAATATTAACAAAAAAAACTAAAAATTAATGCCAAAAAAACAATTAATAACCATAAAAAACAAGCTAACAGTAAAAAACTAGCGAAAAAAAATTAACAGTCCTGCTAAAACTAACATCTTACAACCTAATATAAGTTATTGGTCATCTAATCTGCATCAACCTAAGTCACACTGATGTTGCTTGAAAGTTGAATTACGCGTATAACTGAGATATTGCAAAATGTATTTTTTTTTCAATGTAAATAAAGAGTTTTGAGTTGATAATATTTACTATTATTATTTTATCAATAATCACGAAGTCAAAATTATTTGACGGCACGTCTATGACCTCATTAAGCAATTTTTTAGAGAAAATGGCACGTTGGTGTATAAAGGTTCGCCACCCCTGGTATATACGATAGTTGATGAATTATACACAGCAAAAAAAAGAGTAAAGAAAAATGGCGCTCGCGAACGAAAGTGAAAGTAATGCAGATAATGTTTCAGATGATGAAGATGTGAACATAAAACAAAGACTCATATTTAACTTCTTTCATTTGCACGTGATAATTTGAGATACTAAACTGAAGGTACATTAAATATTTTTTACGCATAAAAAAAATAGATTGTCAACTTAGAACGTGTATATTATGTTTTGTTTTAGTTCCTTATATTTATGAATGATATAAAAAAAACATGTTGATTTTTTGCAATTTTTTTTCTTCAAAAAAATTGATAAGGGAAGCGTTCAAAATTTATAAACAGTGATATTATATGAAGGTAAAAACCATTAGAAGCCAAAAATATCTTGAGCTTATTAAAATTGCGAAAAATAGACACTTGAGTATCTGAAGGTACTGCTGTCTCACACATTTCCTCTAATATCATGGATTTTACACAAATTCAGTTTCTCACAGCAGCGAAATGGAACCCGCTATTTATTTTTGATTTTTTTAAAAAAAGGATACTTATTTTCAATTTTCGATTTAAATTAAGTTTTTTTTTACTATTTTGCAAGTTAAAAAGTTTACTAGTCAATTATTAATTCAGAAACATTTATTTTCCGTTATCAACTAAATGGGCTGCCTGTTCATTTCTTCCCCTAAACCGTTAGAGTAATTATCTTGATGCCTCCCCCCCCCTCTTTTTCATCGTTGTTAGACGATACTAACTCCATCAAAATTAAGAAACACTTATGATTAATAGATTTATATACTTCACTGTTAAAATTTCGATTCTAAAATTATGGTATAGTAACTGGCAGCTCTCTGTCCATCTGATTAACCATAAAGCTTACGGTAAAGAACACTTTTTTCCTTTGTGGATTTGATACCATTTGCAAAATCTATGGTTATAAAACCATGAAAGCAAAACTATACGGTTTTTTAACCATTTACAACTAGCATTTTCCAAAAATGTAAAAAAAAAAATTATTCAACTAGACTTCGGAGCTCGGATTTTCGAAGGTAATGGGCATTGGAGAATGCCGGACACTGAAAATTCTTCATGTGTTGAAGGGAATAGTGTGGTGTCAACACTAGGACTCGAACTCCAGTTCTCCAGTCATGAGATTGACAGATAATCCCACTCTGCTATGATATGTACGCAGTTGCTAAGAACTAAGTAACTTCGTTAGGTGGTTCTAGTGGGTGCGATATAATTCCGGTTGTTTAACCGTATTAGGCGATAGCAGCTAATAAACAGTTTTTCTCAAACTTAACAGTTTGATTACCATTTTACTTATGGTTATTTGACTGTTTTGATTAAATATAATAAAATAACCATTTAATAAATTGTTATCTAACCATTTTTTCCGAGAAACAACAGTGTTATATTTTGATTATTCTTTTTTCGCTTTTTAAAAATAAAACAACAAAATAATTTTTAAAAAAATGTATCAATGTCTTCAAAATTCAAAACACATATATTTACTGGATTTATAACCTTATATTTTGATTATTCCTTTTCGATTTTTGAAAATAAAACAACAAAATTATGTAAAAAAAATGAATCAAAGCCTTCAAAATTCAAAACAAATGTTTACTAGATTTATGTACTCATATTTTGATTATTCCTCTTCGCGTTTTGAAAATAAAACAACAAAATTTTAAAAAAAAGTTTATCAAAGAATTCAAAATTCGAAACACCTATATTTACTAGATTTATATCCCTATATTTTGATTATTCCTTTTCGCGTTTTTAAAATAAAACAACAAAATTATAAAAAAATGTATCAATGTCTTCAAAATTCAAAACACATATATTTACTAGATTTATATACTCATATTTTGATTATTCCTTTTCGCGTTTTGAAAATAAAACAACAAAATTAGGTAAAAAAATGTATTAAAGCCTACAAAATTCAAAGCGTATATATTCACTAGATTTATATACTTATATTTTGATTATTCCTTTTCGCGTTTTAAGAATAAAACAACAAAATTACATTAAAAAAATATATCAAGGCCTTAAAAAATCAAATCACACATGTTTACTTCAACGCTTGTATAAATAGACGCTTGTGATCAATTTTTTCACGCCTGCAAAGGCAAAACACAGGTTACTATCAACTTTCAATTAATTTGTACAAGTCGTCTTTCATTTGTAAAGTATTCGAAAAGCCTGCCTTGCACAGATAAGCCAACACAAATTAAAAGAAGATCTTAGTAGCTTTATCTACCGTTTATGGTTAAGAATCACACATCAAAAACCAGATTTTGTTTCATACATGTCTTGAGGATTAATGCTTTATTCCAAGACGTCAAGAGCGTTTCTACTGGACAACTTAAATAGATTTCGAATTAAATTTAACGTATCATCAAAGAGTTCAAGAAAGCGTACCTTAAATTTATTTTCTAAATATACAAAGGGCATTAGAAATCAATTGTAATGAGACTCATTTCCCCCCTTGAAACTAGGTTTGTGAACCCCTTCTGTCTGTGAGTTCTACGAAATCCTCTGACGGGAGAACGAAACAAATGTTCTCTTTCGTAAACAAACTTTTAATTTTCCAATGAATCATTAAATTACAATGCAATTTCGCTTCATTCTTACGTCTGACTTATTATACTTAAGTGAAATATATAAAATTGCAGTGTATTTATGAGAGTCTGGATTATTTGTGTAATATATTTTGTACCATCTTGAAAATATATGATTTAAATTCGACTGAATGTGACAAAAGTTTAAAACGTACAGATTTAGTAAAAAAGCGAAAGTAAAGGCTTACCTCGAAGTTGACTGTTCCTCCGTGAGCTTGTTTAAGTGATTTGAAGACGTAGTGAGCATATTGATTGGAATCTATAGACAGAGACGAGAACATAAATTATTTACGATTATTACTAAAATTGTCTATGTTACTTCAATTAGAAAATAACTATTTTGTTGCTTCAATTATAAAAAGAACTATTTTGTTACTTCAATTAGACTATTTTGTTAGTGCAATTAGAAAAGAACTATTTTGTTGCTTCAATCAGAAAAGAACTATTTTGTTACTTCAATTAGACTATTTTGTTGCTTCAATTAGAAAAGAACTATTTTGTTCCTTCAATTATAAAAAGAACTATTTTGTTACTTCAATTAGACTATTTTGTTACTGCAATTAGAAAAGAACTATTTCGTTGCTTCAATTAGAAAAGAACTATTTCGTTGCTTCAATTATAAAAATAACTGTTTTGTTACTTCAATTAGAAAAGAAAATGATAAGAATAAGTTTGTCAAAATTGATTTTGTTAACGCTAATTTTAACTATCTGACTTTTTTGAAATTCATTTTCTTAGTAACTAATCAATCGATTTTGCTCAACTTTTGTAGTTTGCCATTCAAAATTACATTCTTTAAAATGATACAGAAATTTATATACCTTACAATTCATCATTTTGTTTTAAACCATTATTAAATAAAATAATAAAAAAATACTAAATATTTACTAAAAGTTATTTTTTGCATGGAACTATCTTTGGATAAACGAACTTTATAATTGAGTGCAATTTTTTTTAAAATTCGCTTAAAAAGTTCTCGAGATGTACCGAAATACTCAAAAAGTGAAATGAACATTACGGGGTCCAATTTTGGGAGCGCTCTCCTGACCAAACTGTTTGGACTTCCAAAATGCCACTAACCCCTCTATTCTGATCCCAGTGCTTAAATTGACCTACGACAATTTAGTGCAGAAAGTACATGAAGAATACAAACATGACGTTAAATGTTTCTTTGTGATAAATGATTCATTTTTTCTCCAACATACTTTTAAGGCTTTGGTCATCAAAAAGTTTATTATACTACATGAGCAAGTATTTTTAAAATTGTTCATATTTTTTATTAAAATAGGGGATAGAGCAAAAATTTAGCCTCACGAATACCTTCACAATTGAAATTTCATACCCTGGCTTAAGATATTTCACTCTACGAAATCTGGTAATATATATCTTAGAATATAATTTAATAATAATTAATTAAATATGCCTTTTTGCCCATTGGCAAAATGGATCTTGGTTTGGATTTAATGGCATCCACGCACTTTTCAATTGGGTACTTGCAATCCAAGAAGACAGCCAATACCCATGCATGTGACCTATGACGTCAGCAGCAGCTAATCTTTATCAGCAATATGGAGTATTAAAGTTGAGCTCTCTACATAACTTAAAATATTAATTAACTTTGAGTTAATTAAATAGAGAGCCGTATAGCAAATCAAATATGTTGAAATATAATTCTTTCTAGTCTACTTCTTTTACTTGACTTTAATTTATTATTTGTTCATGTATTTAATTGGGTATAATACAAAAAAAACACAACTACTTTCACTTAGTAGGAATAACATTTACCACGACGCAATGCTAAATTCTATGCCACTATCCACATAAATGCCACTATCCACATAAATCAATTATTAATCAAAAATCGAATATCAATTACTTTTCTTTATAATGCAATAAAATCTGGCGAGCAGCTATTTAAACGATCAAACACTTCGTTTGTTTCTTTGTGGCTTGAAGTTAGGCTCGCAGAAAATGACGTTCATGGGTTAAATTTAGTAGGAATAACACAACCTGTGACGTAGGCTATAGTATACCCAATTGTAACTGTTATATATTTTTGTTTTGTGTACCTGGCAAACTTCGATGCATAATAAGTTTGTTTGTGTTCTACATGGCTTCGTGCCTGTCTTTGTGTTATTATACAGTGGTAGAATTGAAATATTTGTGAAAGATTATAGGCTTCGTTACTTAAGAGAATTGGTACTTGACAGGCTTGGCTTCCTCGAAGTAGAATAAAAAGAACAGTTGCTAGCGTAAACAAAAGCCACGTTTCAATGACAAATCAGGATCGAGATACCCACACTACGTCACTGGCAGGTATCCCATTGTATTCAGGAGTAATAGTAAACTAGTGCGCATGCGTCGTCATTGCGTTGCTATGGTGAACGCTGCTGTTTTTCTTTTTATTTTCACTAGCAGGTATTTTTAATGTATTTGCATATAATAATAACTTAAAGTATTTTTATATTCTTAATATTATTAACGTATAATGACTGTCTTGACGGCGATTTCAATATAAATATGAATGATGAAGAAGGAAAAGTATTTTGTGAAACACGTGCATATAGGCAAGGATATGAAAAAGGACAAACATCAATGGAGACAGTTTTTGCAACCCATGATTTGAAATGTTTAACGGAGTCAATCCAGAAAGAAAAAAGCATCTGACCAATGGCTAACCAGTGATTGTAATAAGACGATCACAACTTTTATATGTTTCTTCGACTGTTTACAGATTTTACTCTTGTCAATAGAAAAAAACAATAGCCTTAATGTGGAAAATATAGTCCCAGTAGTTCAGGCACGAAAGTACAACGAAGTACAACTGAGGCGTTATTTGCGTATTTTGCGTTTTTATTTTTCTGGAATTATTTTAGCGTTTTTTTTCTTTCAAATTGTTGCAAAAAATATTAAAACTTGTTTATCTAAAGATAATTTCAAGTGAAATATAATTTTTAAGAATCGAGTTATTATTTCTACTGTTTTAATAACGGTTAACGGTTAAAACTTTTAATAACGGTTAAAAAAAAAGTTTAAATTGCATGGCATATGTGCTTTATTTTAAGTTGCGTAATTTTAAATAACAAATCATTCGAACAGTTCTTGAGTATTGGAAGTTCAGAAAATTTGCATTTTTTCAATATCCATTTTAATATTCTTTTGAAATGTTGAACTTTTTCTGAAAAAATTTCTCCTTATAAAACTTATATGAGTGTCTGAGCAATCAATTATAACAAAAAATGCTTCGACTAATTATATTTATATAAAATAATAAAAAAGTAGATAAATCTAAAAAAAAATTTAAATATATTTAAGCAAACGAGTCTTACAGTTGCGTTTACAAATTTGTAAATTTTCTCGAATAATTTCAGAGATATATCAAAATATGTTAAACTTGAGGTCAACATCAAGAGTTATAAATTTTTGACAGTTCTTTTATCTAAACTATTGAGACTCTAATTTCAAGATTGCGGCTACCCCAATATTTTATTTTGAGGGTCAAAAATCTAAACACGTCGAAACAATGTATTTTTATTTAGTAAATGTATCTATTTTGTGAATTATAACTTCGTTTGTTCGAGAAAACTAGAAGCTTCTTTAAAGCTAGCCCCTTGAATTATTGAGATTGGAACTTGAAATGTCGGAATCTAGTCTCTAGATCAAAACTTTTCAAACAGTTTCGTTTTTCATTTTATGTACTGTAAATTGTTTTTTATTCAGAACTCTGTATGGGTGTGGCCGAGGTCGAATTCTGGTCCATAGATGGCGCCACGGGAAAACAAGAACAATCGCACCCCCTGTGCCTTAATAACTCACTACAACAACAACATTTAGCACTCTACTTTATCAAACAAATGAACAAAATTTGATAAAAGACAGTTAATTTGTAATGGAAATAAGATATTTGTAAAAAGGATGGTGTATTGGTATGCCCGACATCCACTTAAATTTTACCAGTCCAAGTACAAAGAAAGAAAAAAGACTTTGTACAGTATTTAAGTGAAAAGAACAAAATCAGTATCTTTGTTTTGGCTTACCAGTATTGAGATCATAAAGAGAAAAGGATGGATAAATATAATTTAAAAATCTGGAAAGGAAAACATAAATGTTTTGAAGTGATTAGCGAATGCTACAAAAAGACAAATAAACTGATTTTTGGCAATTTTAATCCCTGCTTTATACGACTTTACCTCAATAAAAGACATTTCTTTGTAAATGCCTTTCTTCGCTGATGCTGAAATTCAAAATTACTGAGTAGTAAGAAATTTTTTTTGAAATAAGAAACTTATTAAGTTTCCATTTTTCTCTTTAAAATATAGTAAAAGTTTTTCCCGAAATAAAATTTCCAAAATGTGTTTTACGAAGAAAACACGACTGAAATTATTTAGTTATCACATCTGACGAAGTAATAAGAGAGCATCAATATATATAGAGGATTTGTTTTAATTTCTTTACCGCTACCAGTTAATTAATATTTCTCTTTCATTCTTCTAGTATTATTCTAAGAATCTGCTCTTATAATGAGTGTATTTTTCTTATCTTTTTTTTATGATTCGGAAATGGAGAAAAAGAACAGAATGTAAAAATCATATTTTCGTTCGTACTATGGTCTGTTGTACTCAACGTTCAATAAAAACTCTGTTCTTTGTTGCTTCGTAATAGATGTTGCATTATGTTTAATAAGATTTTCTCATTTTTCGGAACTCATTCTCATACAATATTCTAACAGATATCTTCCTTAGCCATATTGGATTATAGGTCAAATTTTTGATTATCGTTTTAGTAATGTTTTTTCTATTCTTAACGAATATTATTCACCACGACAGAATTTCACAGCACTTTTCTGAAAGTGGAAAAATAAATATTTTATTTTTATTTTATGGGAAAAATAGAACTTGATATCTTAAGAACATTTTTTCAAAACTTATTCTTATACAATTTTTTAAGAAATTTCTTCCTTCGCCATTTTGGATTTTAGGTTAAATTTTTGATTTTCGTTTCAGTAATGTTTTTTTTTTCTTCTATTCTTAACGAATATTATTCGCTACGACAGAGTTTCTCAGCACTTTTCTAAAAATGTAAAAATAGAGATATTTTTTTTATTTCGCTGGAAAAAAATAGCACTAGATATCTTTTAGAAAATTTACGGATATTTTTTCAGAAATAAAAGATGCTGACGCACTTAGTCACTTTGCGTTGTTAATTTAATACTGTAGACATGTCAGCGTCAAAACTATATGTTTTTGATATTGTACAAAA